AGTAGTCTTGATTTTTCCCTGCAAAACCAGATCTCCCCTTGACTGCCCCCTCCTTAATTTCAGAAAGAGCTGTAGCTCCAGTGACACGGGGATGTACTCAAATGTTAATACCATGGTCAGACACAACCTCTAAACAATAGACCATGAGTTACTGAACAATGAGAAGAGCTGATGGCAGGTTATGCTTTGTAGACTCTTCCTGAAAAACCACATGCTCATCCTATAATCCCTGTAACATCTCAAGGACAGGCACTGACTATACACCATGAATCCCATCCTGGTTTGGCTCACAACTATTTATTTGCTCCTATCTATGGCCCTGCTTGAGCAGGAGCTGCTGCCACACATCTTGAACACTCCTTGCTAAAATAAAGTAAAATGAAATCTCTTTGCTGAGAAGAACTTGCTCAGCTGAAGACAATGGCACCAGCAACTGCTGGCACCCAGCAGGCACCAATTTTAATTGCTGGAACCCCACCTCCTCACTGGACTTCAGTGTCACATTTAACCTGTTACCTGATCTACATCAAAGACTGAGCTGGGAGGGACCTTAAAGTCATCTCATTCCACCCCCTCCTATGGGCAGTGGCACCTCCTACTAAGCCAGGGTGCTCCAAGCCCTGTCCAGCCTGGCCTTGGACACTTCCAGGGATCCAGGAGCAGCCACAGCTTCTCTGGAAAACCTGTGCCAGGGCCTCATAGGGAGGAATTCCTTTCCAATATCCCATCTAACCCTGCCCTCTTTCAGTTTGAAGACATCCTGTTACTCCATGCTCTTGAAAAACTCACTCTGGGGACTTCTTGTAGGTCCCCTTCAGGTGCTGGAATCCAGTCCTAGGATCCTCCAAGATCATTCATCAGAATAATTATATGTGGGCAAGAATCAAAAAGTCTTGACTTTATTAAAAGAAACATAGGGTCGACAAAGTCAATATTTCTGCTTAACTTTAAAATGGCAAATTATTCCTGAAGGAAAAGCCCAACTCAACTCCTGGGGCAAAGCCATCATGAGGCAGTCCTAAGAGAGGAAGTACAGTATGAATAAACAGAGAGGAGTTGCAGCTTCTCCTTCAACACTGCAGGCTTCCAACTGATGGGAGAATAGAAGGTTTCAGGGAAACCTCAGAGCCCCTTCCAGGGTCTAAAGGAGCTCCAGGAGAGCTGAACAGGGACTTGGGACAAGGACCTGGAGGGATAGAACAAGGGGGAATGTCTTCCCACCGCCACAGGGCAGTTAGATGGGATATTGGGAAGGAATTCTTGGCTGTGAGGCTGGTGAGGCCCTGGCACAGGGTGCCCAGAGAAGCTGTGGCTGCCCCTGGATCCCTGGAAGTGTCCAAGGCTGGACCATCCAGTGCTTGGCCTGGCCTAGTGTCACTGCTCATGGCAGGGGGTGCAATGAGATGAGCTTTAAGGTCCCTCCTAACTCAAACCCATCTGTGATTCCATGATGTCCATCCACAAGTTGTCCCCACTTTGCAGTACCTTCTACCCAAAACATGCCAGAATAAAAGATGCAGTTTTACCCAAATTACTGCAAAGATGAACAGAACCAGGACCAGTCAGTCTGGTATCAATTCATAACTGAAGGAGAATGTTTCAAGCGAGCTGCCAAGCTTTCAAACCACTGTTTCTGAAAAAAAGCCCCAAACCACAGGACTGTGTTTCCAATCAGTGCACAAGAAGAAGGCAGGAGCACACAGACAGCCAGGAATGTGACATCACTGCAAATCCAACAAAGGCAGTCTCTCCATGTGCAGCTCGGGAAAGGGGAAGAGAAAAGGCTTGGCTTGGAAAATAAAACTCCAGTCTCAGCTACAAAGTACCAAAGGGAAGGATCCCTTCAGGCCAACTCTGCCCATTCAAGACTATTGAGGGGGGGTGACAGTTGTCACAGCAGAACCCTGAGGGCACAGATCTTTCAGGAGCCAGGCTGGGATCATGGAATGATCACATTCACTTTCCATGAAAAGCATTTCTGAGTGGAGTTGTCATCTCCACATACTCCAACACTGATGAAAAGGATGGCAAATGTCAGCCCCTGTGTTGAGCACAGAAAGTGAAACATTCCAGAGTGGAGCAGATGCACATAGGAATCTCATCAAAGCTCAAAACCCATCCCAAACTTAAATCTCAAGCTTTTTACATGGAATCCCAGACTGTTTGAGCTGAAAGGGATCTTAAAGCTCATCTTGATCCATCCTCTACCATGGG